TGATATTACAATATAAGAGATAGAATTATTTATTTGTCTATTACCATGAGGATACCATCACTGCATTTAGGAAAACTGACGACAATATTGCTACAAGTGCTACTTTTAAAAAAAACAGTGTTTTATAATAAATATAAAACAATTTTACTTAATTTCTACGACAGTGAAAATTGGCATGCACAAGAACAGAAACAAACATTGACAAGGCGAACCTCGTACGTGTTAACGCTGGCATCAACCTTTTCTTGTTCGGCGTTTTTGTGTTTATGAGTGCTTGGAGACGTTCATCGGATCTCTGGTTCCTGTTAAATGTCCTTCCACACGTGCGCGAGCTGCGTGTTCTCTAGTCGAGCTCACCAAACAGGTCTAGGTGCAGAAAGAAGTAGAGCAGTAAACTTAACTGCTAAACTGACGGCAGAGAGAGCACATACCATCTCACTGGGTAGTGTTTGTAGTTGACCGAGTTGAGATATTGTGGTTTGCCAGAACTTATATGCTGTGTATAATATTGACATCGATCGATACCAACGTGCAATCCATCACCAAATTACATATAGTAAGCAACCATTGCTAGGTGCAACACATTGTGCACAATTTGCTAGAGATTACATAGGTGGCGGTTGTTGTGCCCAAACTTGGGAATCTTGTCACAAACTTTGGAATTTCAGTCGTACCGACAGTTTGGGCAAACCCAATCTTGAGATATAGGCAAAAGAAGCGTACACACAGAGCTTGCACAACATATGATGGTAATTAGGATTTTCAAATGTTAATATCCCATAAGTCCGTATACGCTTCTTTCTCAATGTGTTTGGCACCTTTGTATAATATTAAATGATTATAATATAATTTGAGTGAAATATGAAGATAAATCTCTTCCTAGTTGCCACCACGCACACCACACACTCGCTATGACGGTTGTTGATCACCGACTGTTTCAGTTTGCCCAATTCTTGAGATTGGTCTAGGCAAACTAGGGAAATCCGCAGTTTGGCGGCAGCACAATGCACTGCACCGCAATCTTTGAGATTGTCGCAGATTCCAAGTTTGGGTTTACAACAGGCCGCACACTGGATGTTGCCAGCTTGTGCCTTGTTGCACCAATGCTACACCATGTCTGCTGCTACTATGCTACACTAGAGAGAGAGAGAGAGAGAGATATGATTGATGAGTTCACCGTGTGTGTGAGAGAGAGAGAGACGAGAGGAGAGAGAGAGGAGAGAGGAGAGAGATGAGAGAGAGGAGGAGGTTCACCTACCATGTCTAGCAGAATTTCTATCTTTAGTTTGAGTAGGTTATTCTCCTCCCTGAGACTTTGGTTTTCTCTGCCTAGCTTTAGTGTCTGCTTCTGACTGGCACCTCCCCGTCCACGTTCTGTGGAACAAGTAGTGGCAGCAACAAATTATTATTCCTTTTAATTGCCCTGTCCGTCATGACAAAATTGCAATGCTATTTCTTTATGCAAGAATAAACAGTATAATTTACACAGTATATTTTACGATATTAATGCAACAACAACAAATTTAGCGTACGTGACAACCAACTATTATAACACACGCTAGTACTAGTAATACAAGCTGCTTATATAAAACAACAGTATTAGTATTAATAAATAATAATATATAATAATATTATCGCAGTGGCTACGCGTCCAGAACCGGTCGCCTAGCCTCCAGGCTACGCATCTGGACATCCACTCACACAGTATTCGCGCCGATTCGCGTACACGCATGATTGACCGCACGGGACGCTCTGCTGATTGCCGAAAATATACAATATATGCACTGCTGCCGTCTATCCTTTCATCCGCTCTTCTCTCGCGCTCTCTCTTCTTTCACACACACACGCACAGCTCTATCTCTCTCACACCACCTCTCTCTCTCTCTCTCTCTACACACACACACACACACACACACACACACACACACACACACCTCTAGCTCTCTCTCTCTCTCTCACGCATACACACACACATACACATTCCCTCTCTCCTCTCTCTCACGCACACACACACTCGGCAATCAGCAGAGCGTACCGTTGCGCAATCATGCTTGTACGTGTCGCAAGAGCACTGTCTGAGATGGATGTCCGGACGCGTAGTCTAGCGGCTCTTCGTCCGGAACCGGTCGCGTAGCCACGTCCTAATAGTAATATTATTGCACATTGCAGCACAACGCTCAACACTACATCATATTCATACATGATCATTCAATAAGTCACGTCATTGTCAAGGTTTTTAACCATTGTTGTTTAGTTTACTAGCAGTAGCATAATACTAATAGCAAACTAGCATTATAGGTCGTACCTGCTTGCCAATCCCCGTTGTCAAAATTGTAATCGTGATCACCAAGTGTAAGTCTTATTGGGCCATAATCTCTTCCAAATTCTAACTGCTGGGTAGCTCGATCTAAGTTGAGATTCGACAATGAAGAGTTTTTCCTTGGACTAGGCTTCTTAGGCGAAAACTTGTTTCCAAATATAGGCATGGTTATGCTTCTTTAACTATGCAGTAGCGCCGCCGTATGCTTATTATCTATGATAAAAAGATAGCCTGGATTTCATTCATAGTAAGTAGGCCCTAGCTAATTCAAATTTAGTACAGTATTAGTACAGTAATACCATCGACGTTGTTTACTTCTTTCTTTTGTGAGCTGCGACACGCGCCGCCTATCGGATAATATGTTAATCAATATAATTTCTGAAAATCTGTTTATTTTAGGTAATTACCCGCGCATAATTACCTGAACATTTTTAATTATTGTTATATTTATATACTCCTGACCACAGGCACTTGGAGCATTTCAATAACATATAATGCTAAATAAATAGGAAATATATTTACTACCAGTCTACTTTTTCCTACTTTCTACTGTTTCTCTACTCTCTTTCACCTATTATTGCTGACAATTTCCTGTAAATGCCGTCTCATCGTTGAATCGAGTACCTTGTGAAATACAAGAGAGGGAGCCAAGATACAAGATACAAGAAGTTTATGTGCTAAATAAGAATGGTACCCTAGATTTGCTCCGGACCATATAACAAATATATATGAAAAATGACAGAGAGACGATTTTTTTTACAGTTTTAGACATACACATGTACATGCCAGTTTATTCACTGCGTGTGCGTTTAACCACAATAAAACATTTTTAAGATCACAACTTTTAATGAAAGTGTCAATGACACCATAGCTCACATTGCCATTGGGTGTGATAGAAGAGGAAATGATATTTAAAATTTGGTAAATGTTTCATTTATGACGGACCAAAATGTGATAAAATGTCCTTATTCCCCGTTTTATACTAATCGAAATTTCATTGTTTTGTTTCAGGGTTAGTTTTGATGCGAAAATAAATGTTTCAGATCTGAAAGTCTGAAATCTGGGCGATAGATGGTGCTATGCCTAAATGATTGCCATTTTGGTTTTCGATTATTGCGCAAATAAAAGCAATAAAATATTTCAGTCAAATTACTGTAACGAAGAATCTAAAACACAATATTACACGTAGGTATGATTAGGTAGGTAGGTAGGTAGGTAGGTAGGTAGGTAAATTTAACAAAATAGAATGAATCTAGATGGCCATTTTCATTTTTGCCAAAAAGTGAGCGTGGCTCAAAAGTAGGTCAACTGGCGTGCTCCAAAATAGGACGTTCACATCTCTCCCATAGGAGTAACAACTGTATGCAATTTGAAACATGTGGGTCAACTGGTTCTTAAGTTATCATTGACCGTAGCCAAATGTTTACAGACAGACAGACGGACGGACGCACGCACGACAGACGACACCCTATGGCAATAGCTCATCTTGACGATGTCAAGGTGCGCTAAAAACTGATCATCTATCTAAAAATAGGGAGACAAAATAGAATCATCGGTAAAGTCAATATAACACGGAATTGATTAAAATATCCAATTATTTTAAAATATACAGAATACAGTGATTTTAAAATAAGCAATTTCGGCATAAATAGTTTTTTATAGTTAGTAATATTGCAATACAAAAACAATTAAAAATTATTGACATATTAGGCTACACTGTGCCTGATTTAAGAACAGAACTGATAATCTATCTAAAAATAGGGAGACAAAATAGAATCATCGGTAAAGTCAATATAACACGGAATTGATTAAAATATCCAATTATTTTAAAATATACAGAATACAGTGATTTTAAAATAAGCAATTTCGGCATAAATAGTTTTTTATAGTTAGTAATATTGCAATACAAAAACAATTAAAAATTATTGACATATTAGGCTACACTGTGCCTGATTTAAGAATTTCATGTCCTAGCGTAAAATCACTTGAGTCCTGGCCCAATAGTAATTGTATTTAAAAAAACATACAATTCACACCCAACAGGCTGCTGTCAGAACTAAAATTAAGCAGCTTCACAATACACGATGTTTCACCGAATATTCACCTGCTGGATGTATTTTAGGATAATCAGTCGTTTCATACAGACTGCACATCATAAACTCGCAAATATATAATTCTCTATCATGTATAATATAAGAATAAAACACATTAAAAACAGTGATTTCCAACGTTGTCCCCCCTATTCTATACTTGCATTAAAAATAACCCGGATATACATCCTCTTCATCTATTTACACATGCCCTGTATCCATGTGTCTTCCTAACGTAGCTGAATATCAGTTAAAGCCCGACACATTTCTATGGTAATAACGTTGCCTCCCGTTTTTCCTGTCTACGCGTGAGTGTTACAGGTTTGTTATCTTCTCATTTCTTCTCATATATGGGTGCTATAGTAGAATTCCCCTCTTCACTGTTTATATGGGGAAGGGGCTGGTTTAGGTGGGCTTCCCCTTCCCCTTGTTTATATGGGGAAGGGGCTGGTATAGGCGGGCTTCCCCTTTCCCTTGTTTATCTGGGGAAGGGGCTGGTATATGTGGGCTTCCCCTTTCCCCTGTTTATATGGGAGTGCTATAGATAGGCTCCCCCTCCTCCCTGTTTATATGGGAGTGCTATAGATAGGCTCTCCCTCCTCCCTGTTTATATGGCAGTGCTATATAGGTGGCAACTCCCATTCTCCATGTTTATATGAGGGTGCTATATACCTGGGCTCTCTTCTTCCTGACTATACTTTTGAGCTGTTATACGTTGGTTCTGCCCTTCCCTACTGCCCTGTTTACAAGCGGCTGATGTAGGGGTCATCCCCGTCACTACTACCACTGCTCAGCAGCCCCTGGTTCAAGCCTCGCTGCTGCACACCTCCTTGGGACAGACGGTACACCTTGCTGCCGATCTGACTCAGTTTCTCTGATATGCTGCTCTTGAGGCTTGAGCGTTGACCGCGGTCGTCAGGAAGGTCGTCGTCGATGCCACGATGAACGGAGATGTTGTCGCCGTTAGCAACCAGCATCAGAGCTTCCATGCGCAGATGATTGAGGTAGTCGTCCGTCTCGAGGGTCATGCGTACTGGCTTTCTATACCTGCACACACGAAGAGTGAGAGACGCCATTAAGCGACCGTCAAACACTTCCACTGAGTTAATAAATAACTTTCTAGTACTGAATTATTACCTCTAGCAAAATAAAATAGAGGCTTCCATGACCTTCCTAAACCTTCCCTGTCCTTTACTGGGCTTCCCTCCTGACATTCCCTAGCATTTGGGAACCCTTCTACACTTCAATGAGATTCCCTAATCACCCGTGACCTTCCTGGACGTTGCTCAATTTTCTCCAAGCTTTCACGAACGGCCTTTGTGACTTCCCCTAACTTTCCCTGACCTTCACCGACCTTCCCTGACCAACACCACTAAGCAGACAGACGTACATTTTTAGCAGCAGTGACGAACAGAGGACGGACACGCTAGAGGCAGCCATAGCAGCAGCAGCCATCCACGGCTGCAGAGAGAATCCAATCGGTTTCAGAACACCTATGGACACAAAGAAGATGTGTGAGCTGAAGATGGGTAGAGGGATCTGTACGAACATTTACAAATGCAATCCTTCATGAGAACGTGAATTAGAAATGACTGCTTAAGTGACTGAAAACACTGTGAACAACGACGAACATCCGCAACGATTACTTTGCGGCGCATTGGGGCCGTTCACAATTTCAAATGAGGCACATGATGATGATGATGATGATGATGATGATGATGATGATGATGATAAGGAGGAGGAGGAGCGAAGGAGAAGGGGGTGAAGAGGAGGAGCGAAGGAGGAGGGGGTGAAGAAGAGGAGCGAAGGAGGTGAGGGTGAAGAGGAGGAAGAGGAGGAAGAGGATAATGATGAAGAAGTGTAAGCAAAGGAGGTAGAGGAGGACGAGAAAGAGGAGGATGTGGAGGGAATACCTTACCTGCTGCAATAGGGATGCCAAAAATGTTATAGATGCTAGCAAATAAGAAGTTGAGACGAATCCTCCAGACAGTTTTATGCGAGAGATCGATGGCAGCCACGGTATCCAGTAGATCATTCTACAGTAAAAACACCAGGTTAGAATATTCTTTTCCTTGAAAGACATTAACCTTTCTCATTACAGATGTGTTGTGGTCGCGGCTTTTACCCCGTATACAATATGACATACATGACGATACAACAAAACCACCTCTAAAATAATAAAACCAATAAATCAATGAAAAAGATTGCACCTAATATTTATGCACATAGATGGCATTACAATTCACTTGCCCGTATGAGCACCATGTCTGCAGCTTCCACGGCTACATCCGTGCCGCTTGCTATAGCAATGCCGACGTCTGCCTGCGCAAGAGCTGGCGAGTCATTCACTCCGTCTCCTACCATCGCGACCTTCATGCCTTTTGCCTGCAGCTGCTTTATCTTAGCAACCTTGTGTGAGGGCAGCACCTCTGCAAACACCTTTGTGATTCCGACCTGGGTCAGAGAATGTCAGGGCTTGTTAATAAACGAGGCATTCTAACAATAAAACATCTGTAAGTCAATTTCTTAATTGTCACTTCTGTTTTCATTATCTCCCAGCATTTAGCAAACAAATAACCATGACAGCAGCACTATTAAGCAGGCTGATTCTGCAGAATTGTATCACACACTATTTAATTTGCAGTGTTTATTAGGATAATTTGACTACGATCAGATGTACTTTTTGCAATTATTGGTATGCTTGGTCTACTACCTGCATTGCAATAGCTTTCGCAGTCTTGCGATTGTCCCCTGTCAGCAGTATGACGTGAAGACCGCTCTTCTTCAGTGTGTACACAGCTAGATGAGCCTCGGCCTTGACAGTGTCAGCAACAGCAACCATGGACACCAGCACCCCTGCACAAGCACAACAACTTAGCTGGCTCTACAACTCTCTCAAGAGCACATGTAACACTCGCGCTTCAGTAGTGGCTCTCCCAGCAACCTTTTCCCAACCAAAAACAAGTTTCTTCCTTCAAGCAGCTAAGCTCTTGCACTTACTCTGATTGGTTCTTGTAGTCTGGAAACGTTATACCATGAGTGTAAGCGGTATAACGTCTATGTTGCCTACCACACTGTGATTTGTTATTGAGTTTGCGTGATTATGCCTAAAGTTTGTAAACGTTTCACGTAACATGATCCCAGTCTCTGGTGAGAAAGCCTATACCTCATCATTACTAACACAGCAAGGATCAGACAACTAGAAAAACCGAGCATTTTGATGCCTATTAATGTAGATAGAAAGTATAATAGATAGATACTACCAGAGGTTAATAATGACAAACGTTTAATTATCATTATTAACCCCCTGATACTACTAGAATTACATAGAGAGTATTGGGATCAACACTGACCATATATGGCCACAAGCATGGGAGTCTGTCATAAACGGAGGACTGGTAGTGTTATTGAACGAGTGAAAGGGATGAGAGTTGGAGGTATCACTGACCATCTATGGCCACCAGCACAGCGGTCTGACCGAGTATTTCGTGTTCGCTCATGCGTGCTTCCACCTCCTCCCCAACAACCAGTCCATTACGATTCATCCACTCCCTGTTTCCAATCAGCACCTTGTACTCCTTAGACGCCGGCGTCCCCTCTACAAGAACTACAGGAAAACAATGGTGAGAATTACACACTGACTGGGACTTTAACACCTTCTGGTTTTAAACCCTATTATCTACTGTATAACTAAGACACGATGCCAACAATACAGGCATACATGAGTAAAAACATAATTAACATATTAAACATAACGTAATTTTAACGCAAAGTTAGAGTAAATGTGTGACGAATGAACGACAACTAACAGATGAATGTCATTTGTGCATACCCTGCACTGGAGGCATAAACGTAGGAATCTCAGCAAGAGATGGCGCCACATGTTGGTCGATTACAGCGCCCTCTACCTCTACGTGGAACCCATCAGCTTGTGTGTTCTAAAACAGGTGACAATGAACAATGTATGGTTCTCTCATACATATGTTATCAATCCTGAGAAGCTAAACATACATCAATGGACCCAATGCATCAAAGGTTTACCCAGTGTATAGCAAGTAATATCTTGTAATATTACTCATTGTAAAATGTATTTTATGAAAACTACAGGCAAAATTATCATCGCTCAAATAAATCAAGAAATTAATAAATATAGGCTCAAAGAGACTAAATTTAGTCTCACTCCAACACTCGTCTGCGCACATGTTACCGATTACTTCAACATAAAAATCACCACTTTACCTGTACTGTGTACACTATTGTTTGTGCTGTTATAGGCACAAACTATAAAACAGTAAATGAACAGCAAAGTTGTGCCTGCACTCTTCAGATTTGCAAAAATAAGATACGCAAACACTGCCACAAAATGGGTGTTGCTATCCCACAAGTGGACAAATTTATGGGATGTAAATTTTTCTAGACTGGTACCTATCTCAACATGTAGACAAATGTAACATATATATATATATATAGTTTAGAGACAGGGTACGGGTTGATGGTATTTCGTGAGAGCGAGAATGACAATCTAGTGATGCTGACATGTAAACAAATCTAATTTGAAATGCATATATTGGTGAAAATATTGATGAGTAGGTGTTCTGTAACATGTTAGCTTCACTATATACACTTGGTGTTACACAAGGGGTACCGGCAAGTATCAGAATGATAGCGAAAATATGAAAATGGTTAGATAAAACATGAAATGCTTGCTTTAAAATGTAAACACTGTTCAGAGTATCTTCTGACACCAGATGGCACTGCATAAACAGGTCAGTGTTTAGTCATCTAGGTTAAAGCATTTACGTCGTATCACACACAAACAGGTTGGTCCACAAGAATCGCTTATATGGGGCGGGCTTATACAGTACACTATAAATGAACATTACAGACATTTTACGGAAAAGTAACAAAATGCTTTGCCCACCCCTTCAACAAATGAACTCACCAGCCCATTGAGCAGTTTGACATAGCTTGCTGATTATATAGCGAAACTATAATAGTTTGCAAAACTCTTATCGTATCAGCAAACTTTGCACATGCGCACTGCATGCCAACCTTGCACGTTTAAAGTGCTTTAAATTACAAAAAGGTTCCGTAGCTGCCGCAAGAAATTTTGTTGTCAACTGTTGTAACTGTCAGTAGCTGTGCGCAATTTTGGTCAATTTTCAATAACAGGTCCATAATAATAGCTAGCAGAAATATGCTTGTAAAAGTTACTATATGAGATTCATAACGAGCACAACACAGCCTACAGATGCGAAGACTTTAATTTCATCACAGTACCTGTGGCAAATGCTGCGATTGCCCTTCTTATAGCCATGGTGTCTCTAAAAATTCCAGCGTATATGGCTACAACAAAACCGCCGGTCACTGCCCGACTGGTTGCCCTTGCGCCCGTTAACATGAATCCACATAGAACATGGATCTCTCGTAAATCTTCCTCGCATAAGTGTTTTCCCAAATGTAAGCGGCCTCCACAACCCTTCTCTGAAGCAATGTTTGCTTTGCGTGAGCTTGCAACTGTCAAAAAAAAATTCTGCTTAAGCTTGCCGCTAAATAAAGTAGAATTCGACGCCCCTGATACACACAGGGTGTTTCGCAGCTCGTGCCCTGTCTGTGTCTGCCTAGCATCGGTTCCCGTACGTTGCTGACACTTGCACTCAGGCCACAGCCTGGCACTGCCTGGAAGTCTGTGCATTTACCCATCCTGTCCGTCCTCAGCCACCTACACCAAACATACGCAGTGTGTAATGCATGCACTATAACGTGCGTTCTTACATAGATCGCAACTGGAACATATAGATCTCTGTCAGTGACAGCCCAGCTACCTTATTACCCTGGCACTCACTAGGAACCCATACCTACAAATCATGGCAGAAAGTAACTGTCTAATACCCATGGATTGGTACGTCTGACATTACAATTAAAACCACTGTAAACTGAAAAGGGCAAATCCAGCATGCATAGACCAGGGCAAATAACGATGTAAGCAAACATAGATGCAAAGAAGATTAAATACAACAGAGGCGAAACAGTGCTGACGACCTCACGTGAAATATGTGTAAGCGACAGCCTATGTGCAGACGCAGTAGGTTCACAGGAAGTCATCTCGACGGCTACTCTTTCACTATTTGGCGGATGGCTGATGCCGATAGGATGCTCCGAGCTGGCTTCAGCTGTCCTAGCACCACCGCAGCACCTGGTGGACGCTGCACACTCACTCCGCTACGAACAGAAGCCGACACGCGTGACGTGAGGCACTCGCATGAGTGATCGTTCCAGTCTTGTCAAATACAATCGCACCACCTAAACGTAAATGTCGCGCTCATTAATTTGGTAACCGATCACAATCACCTGGATGGAGCGAGCAGAGGGGTGGCTTATATTGAGGGGGTCAAAGCCCTTTTCGTACGCCAGATTCCGGCCTATTTAGAGAGTATTCCGTACGCGAGGTGCGGTCACCGTACGCCCCGCGATGACAGTATAACGTATTCCGTACGCGAAATAATTGATACTATGATCGGGGATTGTGTTTTTTCTGAACTTTCCTGCCCATTTTTGTTATAAATGTTGGCATCTATTTACCTGCTAAACTGAAACGAGACTGTCCCCGCACGTAAGGATCGCGAACAGCACGGGAATCAGTCGAATCAGTGTGCTGTACCCAGTCTAATGTTAATGAATTATACAACGGAACTTAGAGTTATGTCCTTGTCGCTGGGTTGTTGCCTTCTGGTACTGGTTTAGGCCATTTACGCGCTTTTTTGCTGTTTTGTTTGCGTCTGTTTTCGATGAATTTCCTTCGACGACTGTATTTTAGAAGCACAATGGCTATCCTTCGCGACTTGACCGACGTATCGAATCCGAAGCTTCGGTTTAGTGTAAGCGATACAATCCAGTTGACTCTTTCCGGAATGAAGAAACACATTTAGCTGAGTATGCAGGCGCGCAAATCCATTTAAATGTGGGGGCACCAGTAGCGAGCACGCGAAGGGGGGGGGGTGTCTCGGGCCCTCCCCAGAAATTTTAAATTAGACCCCCTCAGATGCCTTTTTCTGCTCGAGTGGGGGGGGCCGTCCGGACAACGCGGTCACGCACACACGCCGCGCACACATGCGCTCACGCACACACACACATACACACACACACGCATTTGGTTTGTGATATGATTACGAAAAGGGTGTCCACATGGCAGTTATAAAATCAAGAAACAAAAAGCAGAAAACCAATCATTTGGTGTTGAGGCTGATCACAAAATATATTGGTCTCGTTATTATTGTTGGTCCAGTCATCATCATATATGCGTGCACATATATCATCAATTTGCGACGAAAATACTTAATTAAAACCGTTGCTCAGTTACTTCAGTGTCCTCTTTGCGTGAATATAACTTGTGTTTCCAGCTTAATCGCTTGAATCCGTGTCTAATGCCGTGTGATATCTCCTAAACAACTTCATAACATACTTTCTCTTGATGATTTCTGCATAAGAATTATTTAATATCAGAAAAAAACGTGTTAAAAAAGAAAAGGTACTAAATTATCAAGACTAATTTTTCTCAAGTGTGCTGCATGATTCATTATTATGCTCTCAAATGCACTTGAATAAAATGAAAACTGGCAACAGCAAAAAAGGGAAAGAAGCCAATCGTTGACGCACTATCACACACAATAAAAAGGTTCTCACAGGCGCGCCGGAAGCAGTTTTCGATTGGGGGGGGGGCAAAGACCTAAGGGGCTCACGATTTTTTTTATCATGTGTGCTGATTGCGCGTGCCAGTGCGCCGCGTGTGCGCGACTGGGTGCGTGAGCACGTGTGCGTGACTGTTTGCGTGTGTGCGACGTGGTTGCGTGAGCGCGTTGTGGCGGCCGTGTGTGCGGCGTGTCGTGCGTGGCGCGTGTGTGCGACGTGGGTGCGTGAGGCGCGTGTGGTGTGACGTGTGTGCGTGAGCGCGTGTGTGCGACGTGGGTGCGTGAGCGCGTGTGTGTGACGTGTGTGCGTGAGCGCGTGTGTGCTTCGCGGCGCTCGTGAGCGCGTGTGTGCGTGGGCGCGTGTGTGCGACGTGTGTGCGTGAGCGCGTGTGTGCGACGTGTGTGCGTGATCGCGTATGTGCGGCGTGTGTGCGACATGTGTGCGTGAGCGCGTGTGTGCGACGTGAGTGTGTGAGCGCGTATGTGCGGCGTGTATGCATGAGCGCGTGTGTGCGACGTGTGTGCGTGAGCGCGTATGTGAGGCGTGTGTGCGTGAGCGCGTGTGTGCGACGTGTGTGCGTGAGCGCGTATGTGCGGCGTGTGTGCGACATGTGTGCGTGAGCGCGTGTGTGCGACGTGGGTGTGTGAGCGCGTATGTGCGGCGTGTGTGCATGAGTGCGTGTGTGCGACGTGTGTGCGTGAGCGCGTATGTGCGGCGTGTGTGCGTGAGCGCGTGTGTGCGACGTGTGTGCGTGAGCGCGTATGTCCGGCGTGTGTGCATGAACGCGTGTGTGCGGCGTGGGTGCGTGAGCGCGTGTGTGCGACGTGAGCGCCAATCACGCGAAGGCGCGAGGCGAAAACTTAAAATGGATGTATAAATTTGTTTTTGAACGTTAGATGTAAAAAGTCTTAGCACATACATTTTTATTTTTCTTTCCCACTCTTCTTTTGGGGGGGGCTTTTTGGTTTTGACCCCCACTTTTTGAATTGGAGGGGCGGCTGCCCCCCCTGCCCCCCCACTTCCGGCGCCGCTGGTTCTCACTTCACAAACACACACACACGCGCGCGCGTGCACACACCCGCGCGCACACACACACGCATACTTACACACAAAATCATGGTGATCCAAAATCGTGGGGGGGACATTTGATATGATGTCCCCCCTCTAAAAAATTCGTGGGGGACATGTCCCCCTATCCCCCCCCCCCTCCCCCTGGATTTGCGCCCCTGCGAGTATGGCGTCAAAAAGTGGGTCACCTCTTTGGGAGTTGCAGAGTTCAGCTCCAAAATCGCACTCCGGAGACTGGCTGGAGATGCGGAATATCCGCAAGGATCTGTACTACAGTGATGAAGAGGCCGCAAATATATGTACTTACCAGTAGTAGCATCACACAACCCAGAAGCAGGACAGGAAGGCAAATCAAATTCAACAGCAGATTTGCCGACTCTGGGCATAAAGTCTGTACCTTTTCTTCAATTATTTGCCTCTAACAAGCATGACATGAAGGTGTATTTATTGCTCACCTAATAAATAGTGTGCATGAATAAAGGTTAATAAATGTTGTGTATTGGACTATTGGTTACTGTTTGCTTATGTATTATTCGGGTGCTGGCTGCAGGTTAAATAGTATTCCAGATGCCAGCCCAAAATTATGGAGTATTCCAGATGCCACGGCACTGAAAATTAGAGAGTATTCCGGATGCCAAAGGGGGAGGCATGGACCCCCTCTATATTGTCAATGACACTGTAGCTCACCACAAAAAAGAACACAAATGAGTGAGTGAGAAGAAGTCAGTTTTAATTGAGCAACCATCGACGTACATTATAGAAACGAATAGTATATGTGGGAGAACTCCCATTATATACTCTTGATAATTATATGTGTAATTTTTTATATAAAAATAAATGTTTGAGATGTGAAAGTTTGAGATGTGGGCGAATGATGGCGTTACACCTAAATGATCGACATTTAACGTTTTTATATTATTCAGATTTAGGCACTGCCTAAAAGTGGAGCTCCCGATGTGTAACGTGTAAGATTGAGAGGATACGCTTATTCCACGTAGCGCTCATATACCACGTGACAATGGTGTTCCCTACCCAAACACAACTTTTATCAAAGGTTAATTGGTTGCATGGAAGCGTTTACTTCGTATGAGATTTTCTAGGTGGTAGCACACGGTTAGCATCTGTATATCGCAATAATAATTATAAACCAAAATGAATCACAAATTGTGAACGGTAGATGGCGCTATACCGCTTTGATGTTTCTTACGATGGCGTTCGAAATAATAGGTTATGCTGCGTTCTGAAATGTTTTGTAAAACTTTACTCTAATATAGACGTTTTTATCGGCAGGTGGAGAAGAAATACCAATTTTGCATTAAAGATATTGTCAACGAAATCTTGTAAAACGAACTAGACGAGTGACACCACAGCTGTTTGTGTCTATATAATATGCTATATAATTGCCAAACCCTACCTAATTTGCATAATTTTTTTTTAAATATCAAAACCCCTAGCCTTATTCATTCACATACCAAAAATGAGCAAAATCCGTTGAACCTGAACGGACTAATGGCAATTCCCATTTTTGCCAAAAAATTGCCGTGGCTCGAAAGTACGTCGACTGTCGTCCTTCAAAATAGGACGTTTAATATGGGAGCATAGCAGTAACAACTGTATCCAATTTCAAACATGTGGGCCAAACGGTTCCTGAGTTATCGTTGACCGTAGCGAAATGTTGACGAACGGACGGACGGACGGACGTACGACGACCCATGGCAATAGCTCAGCTTGACGATGTCAAGGTGAGCTAAAAACCAGGGGCCCGTTGTCAGAAACATCGTAAGTTAATGCTAATGTTAATGCTAAGATAACACTTACGACTAATGTTAATGTTACGAGAGTAGCGTTGACAGAAACACATCACAGCTATTAGAAAACTTACGATAACAGGAACTTCATCACAAGGCTGCTGATTGGATGAGACTCGATCACCAAATTCAAAATTCATACACATTTATTGTACATCACAGTAATTTATGCATATTATGATGGCAACCACATATAAATAATATTTGATGAAAAACGATGTGATCATGAATTTATTCTGCACAACAAGACAAATTCTCACACTGTAACGTGAGAGCAGCAGAGTCGTGGCAAGCGTTGCATTCCTTTAAAACAAGAGAACAAATGCCATACGCCATTTGTAAATGTATTGTTTTGTTTTATTAGCAGTAGATAATTAATGATTTTGACGTGTTTTTTCAAGAAAAACACACATTTTATTCATTATTATAAATATAATATCACTATAATTGTAATTTGTAGTGTAAATGTGTTATTTTCAACTTAATATTAAAGTTACGAGAGGTGTACAGAGGATATTTGCGAGGATTTTTCATTCTCGTAACATCACGATGTTTCTGTCAACGGTTAACGAGTGGAAGTTAATGTTAAGACTAATATTAAGACTAATTTTGTTTCTGACAACGAGCCCCAGGTATATATTATTAAATTTTTTCATTGAAAGGTCTGCAAGTTTAAGAAAGGAGTACATTCTCTCACTGGGCGTTATTTCCATCGTGTTACTATGGCAACAGATGTCACAGAGAATCTGTTTGCAGTGACCCCTGCGCGAAGTTCATACCTCAGGGACTTGTTATGCCTCTTCCCTGCTATCACACTGCCATTTCATGCCATTCCCCAAATTACCATGCCATTTCATGCCATGCCCCAAATTATGATGCCATTGCATGCCACGACCTCACCATGGCATACCATGCTGCATCACATCGCCTGCTATTCTCTCTAACCTTGTGAGCAGTCTCAAGCGGTTCACCTCCCTTGATGAGTATGCCCTGCTGTGCTCCCACTCCGGTGCCGACCATGACTGCAGTGGGCGTGGCAAGACCGAGGGCACAGGGGCACGCGATCGCCAGCACCGTAATGGCCATGCGGAAGGCAAACTCTACCGTAATGGAAGTCTTACTGAAGCTGCCTCCTTCCTGTAAGTATGACAGCATCGGAATGAGAACAGAACATCTCAGCTGTCACTATTCCGCGCACGACACACACAGAACGTATAAGTAGTTGTAGGATGCATACTGATGAGTGTACGGATGAGCTAATCCATGCTGGAATGCAAGCAATAATTTCTGCCCCCCCCCTTAAACACACACGCACACGCACACAGATGGGACACTACCACACACGGACCATAAATGCTCCCCACACACACATTACTTGACACACGTGCGCACCTCAGGAGGTATGAAGTCAGGATCGATGGCGGCGATGTTGCGATGTCCTATGATTATCCACACAATGCACGTGAGACTCGACGCAATGATCACCATGGGAACAAAGAAGCCAGCAATCTTGTCAGCAAGAGCTTGGATCGGCGCCTTCGAGGTTTGCGCTTCCTCCACCAGGCGGACTATCTGAGCGAGCGCGGTGTCCGTGCCAACGTGCGTTGCGCGAATCAACAGTGTACCATTTTGATTGATCGATCCACCGATGACCTGTAATCCACAAGATCACATAACATCATGTAGGGTCAGGCATGTTTGCGTAGGTCTGCATAATATCACAGAAAATTGTGTAAGCTTGTCTAGGGTCACATAAAGTCCTGTAGGGGCACGTAAGATTTATGCTGGGTCACACTGGTTCGTCTAGGATCAAGTAGAGTTTATGTCTGGTCACATGAGGTCATGTCAGTACATGTAAGTTGGCATAAGGTCGCATAAAGTTTGATATGGGAGTAATGGTAAGTGGCGTAGAATGCTATTGATTATTAACGTGGAAGTGACGTGTACATGCAAGTAGCTGGGAGCACACACATACCTGAGATCCAGGTTTCTTCAGCACGGGCATGGCTTCTCCTGTCACGAGCGATTCATCAGCCATCGAGGAACCTTCGATCACACGAGCATCCACCGGCACCTTCTCTCCCGGCATCACCTATGAACAAAAGAATTACACAAGCTATGAAACTCGTAATCTTCCCATGCATTCATTAATACGTTATCTCGCACAATGCGCCAAGTGCATAGATGCCCATTTTTGTGCGTGCATGCTTGTGTGCATGCACGTATGTGTATGCGTGTGTGTGCATGTGTAGTACTGTGTGTGTGTGTGTGTGCGTGCGTGCGTGCGTGCGTGCGTGCGTGCGTGTGTGCGCGTGCAAGTTTGTGAGTACTGACCTTGAGAATGTCTCCACGCTGCACAAGCTCAACGTTTATGCGTTTCTCTGACATGACGTTTCCATCTGCATCTTGCTCAACCAGAACGGCCTCTGTTGCCTGCAGCGACATCAGCTTAGTGATTGCTTCAGATGTCTTACCCTGTAAACAACAGCAACGACAACAATATTAACCTCTGATGTCTTAACCTGTAAATAACAGCAACAACAACAATATTAACCTCTGATGTATTAACCTGTAAACAACAGCAACAACAACAATATTAACCTCTGTCTTAATCTGTAAATAACAGCAACAATAATAATAACAACAACATTAACCTCTGATGTCTTACCCTGTAAACAACAACAGCAACAACAACAACAACAACAACAACAACAACAACAACAACAACAACAACAACAACAATAACTACAACAACAATGTTAGCCTCTCTTGCAACGAGACCTTACCTTGTTTAGCAACAACAGGAACAATACTTGGGCCTGACATCTCATCATTAATTTCCCCCTTCATCTTTTTACAACAAGGTGAGAAAATCAGGTTAACTAACGCCACACCAAATACAATACAGCAATACAAGTGCACAACATAGATGTCACTTTAGTAGTCTCTTCAGGCTACTGACCCAACCACCATGGCAACGGTTACCTTGGCGATGTACTCCAGCCAGCGTCCGAGCGAGATGAAGACGAGTAACATTGGCGGTGCATCGAAGAACGTCATCGGACTTTTGGAGCCTTGCACTATCGCGATGGCGACGACGATGATCGAGTAGATGTAGGCAATACTGGTCGCCATCATTATCAGCACGTCCATGTTCGTGCTGCGGTGCTTGAGTGCCTTCATCGCTTGAACGTAGAAGTGTCTTCCGCCGATGAACTGCAATCAGAATTTTAAACAGAACCTCAGACCTAAAAATAAAACTTGAAAGTGAATTTAAAAAATTAACAACTATATTTGTATAATGTAGTTTATGTCCTTTCGATGATCTCACACTTATATTAACTGTTCACGAAGCAAAATAGTATATCCAGCTGGTATGTTAAACTGAGCTGGCATCTCATACCAGCATATCTGTATAATGAGGTGTATTCAAGCTCACCTGCACAGGTGTGCAGAAGCAGAACAGCAGTAGGTTTTCCAGTGAGAGGCCTGCGAACACTTCGATGTGTTCCTTATATGGTGAGAACATGTAGTAGAACATAACGATGAAGGTGGGTAGTCCGAAGCAAAGGTTAATAAAGAATGAAGTTCTCCACCTGTGAACAACAGTAACAGTAGCATTACTGATCACATCTATAAATATATTGGTGAAAATATTGATGAGTAGGTGTTCTGTAACATGTTAGCTTCACTATATACACTTGGTGTTACACAAGGGGTACCGGCAAGTATCAGAATGATAGCGAAAATATGAAAATGGTTAGATAAAACATGAAATGCTTGCTTTAAAATGTAAACACTGTTCAGAGCATCTTCTGACACCAGACGACACTGCATAAACAGGTCAGTGTTTAGTCATCTAGGTTAAAGCATTTACGTCGTATCACACACAAACAGGTTGGTCCACAAGAATCGCTTATATGGGGCGGGCTTATACAGTACACTATGAAATGAACATTACAGACATTTTACGGAAAAGTAACAAAAATGCTTGCCACCCCTTCAACAAATGAACTCACCAGCCCATTGAGCAGTTTGACATCAGCTTGCTGATTATATAGGAAACTATAAATAGTTTTGCAAAACTCTTATCGTATCAGCAAACTTTGCACATGCGCACTGCATGCAACCTTGCACGTTTAAAGTGCTTTAAATTACAAAAAGGTTCCGTAGCTGCGCACAAATTTTGTTGTCGACTGTTGTAACTGTCAGTAGCTGTGCGCAATTTTGGTCAATTTTCAATAACAGGTCCATAATAATAGCTAGCAGAAATATGCTTGTAAAAGTAACTATATGAGATTCATAACGAGCACACACAGCTACAGGATGCGAAGACTTTAATTTCATCACAGTACCTGTGGCAAATGCTGCAATTGCCCTCCTTACTAGCCATGGTGTCTCTAAAAATTCCAGCGGATATGTGCTACAACAAAACCGCGGTCACTGCCCGACCTGGTTTGCCCTTGCGCCCTTAACATGAATCCCACATAGAACATGGATCTCTCGTAAATCTTCCTCGCATAAGTGTTTTCCCAAATGTAAGCGGCCTCCACAACCCTTCTCTGAAAGCAATGTTTGCTTTGGTGACCTTGCAACTGTCAAAAAAAAATTCTGCTTAAAGCTTTGCCCTAAATAAAGTAGAATTCGACCCCTGATACACACCAGTGTGTTTCGCAGCTCGTGCCTGTCTGTGTCTGCTAGCATCGGTTCCACGTTGCTGACACTGCAGCTCAGGCCACAGCCTGGCACTGCCTGGAAGTCTGTGCATTTACCCATCCTGTCCGTGCTCAGCACCTACACCAAACATACGCCATGTGTAATGCATGCACTATAACTGGTTCTTACATAGATCGCAACTGGAACATATAGATCTCTGTCAGTGACAGCCCAGCTACCCTTAGTTACCCTGCACTCACTAGGAACCCATACCTACAAAGCATGGCAGAAAGTAACTGTCTAATACCCATGGGATTGGTACGTCTGACATTACAATTAAAACCACTGTAAACTGAAAAGGCAAATCCAGATGCAAGACCAGGGCAAATAACGATGTAAGCAAACATAGATGAAAGATGATTAAATACACAGAGGCGAACACGTGCTGACGACCTTCACGTGAAATATGTGTAACGACAGCCTATGTGCAGACGCAGTAGGTTCACAGGAAGGTCATCGTCGACGGCTTACCTCTTTCACGTATTTGGTGATGGCTGATGCGATGGGATGCTCCGAGCTGGCTTCAGCTGTTCCTAGCACCGCCAGCACCTGGTAGACGCTGCACACCTCACTCCGTACGAACAGAGCGACACGCGTGACGTGAGGCACTCCATGAGTGATCGTTCCAGTCTTGTCAAATACGATCGCACCCACCTAAACGTAAATGTCGCGCTCATTAATTTGGGTAACCGATCACAATCACCTGGATGGAGCGAGCAGAGGTGTGGCTTATATTGAGGGGGTCAAAGCCCTTTTCGTACGCCAGATTCCGGCCTATTTAGAGAGTATTCCGTACGCCGAGGTGCGGTACGCCGTACGCGGCGATGACAGTATAACGTATTCCGTACGCGAAATAATTGATACTATGATCGGGGATTGTGTTTTTTTCTGAACTTTTCCTGCCCATTTTTGTTATAAATGTTGGATCTATTTACCCTGCTAACTGGAAACGAGACTGTCCCCGCACGTAGGATCGCGAACAGACGGGAATCAGTCGAATCCAGTCGGTGTACCAGTCTAATGTTAATGAATGTATACAACCGGAACTTAGAGTTATGTCCCTTGTCGTGGGTTGTTGCATTCTGGTACTGATTTAGGCCATTTACGCGCTTTTTGCTGTTTTGTTTGGTCTGTTTTCGATGAATTTCCTTCCGACATGTATTTAGAAGCACAATGCCGGCTATCCTTCCGCGACTTGACCCGACGTATCGAAGTCCGAAGCTTCGGTTTAGTGTTAAGCGATACAATCCAGTTGACTCTTTCCGGAATGAAGAAACACATTTTAGCCGAGTATGCAGGCGCGCAAATCCATTTTGAAATGTGGGGGGCCACCAGTAGCGAGCACGCGAAGGGGGGGGGGTGTCTGGGGCCCTCCCCCAGAAAATTTTTAAAATTAGACCCCCCTCAGATGCGTTTTCTGCTCGAGTGGGGGGGGGCGCGTCCGGACACACGCGGTCACGCACACACGCCGCACACATGCGCTCACGCACACACACACATACACACACACACACGCATTTGGTTTGTGATATGATTACGAAAAGGGTGTCCACATGCAGTCATAAAATCAAGAAAACAAAAAGCAGAAAAACCAATCATTTGGTGTTGAGGCTGATCACAAAATATATTGGTCCGTTATTATTGTTGGTCCAGTCATATCATATATGCGTGCACATATATCATCAATTTGCAACGAAAACTACTTAATTAAAACCGTTGCTCAGTTACTCAGTGTCCTTTTTGCGTGAATATAACTTGTGTTTCCAGCTTAATCCTTGAATCCGTGTCTAATGCGTGTGATATCTCCTAAACTTTCATAAACATACTTTCTCTTGATGATTTCTGCATAAGAATTATTTAATATCAGAAAAAAACGTGTTAAAAAAGAAAAGGTACTAAATTTATCAAGACTAATTTTTCTCAAGTTGTGCATGATCATTATTATGTGCTCTCAAATGCACTTGAAGGAAATAAAAGCTGGTCAAA